TGCATGCATTCATGCTTTCAAGTTTTAAATGTGGTTCATCCATTTAATTAGTGGCCATTTCAAGAGAGGACGACTCTCTCCTTACTGAGGCAATCTCCAACTCTTTATTTACATTATCTTTTATGCTATTTAATCAGTGTACTTAATCTACCATTTTTGCAGCTTCTTGTCTGTAAGACCCAATTTGCGAGCACTCCACTTACCTCTGTTTGCCTTCATATAAAGCAGCTTTTACAACATTTTCTTATGTAGTGGACTAAAGACACCTCATAAAATTAAAATGATACAGATAAAATTCTATAATTTATGCTATGCCTCCAACTACTTTTCATCCTAATTGACGAGTTCAATACACATTCCAACATGCAGAGTTCTTAAGGACTGGTGATCACTAAGTGGCCATCATCAAATACGAGCTCTAAATAAAAACAATAACAAAGAAAACACAATTCATATGTGAAAGAAAATAGAAGCAAAACAAAATATTCAAAAGCTTTATAATGAAAGGTTTGATTTCATAGCAGAAGTTATGACTTCATAAGAAAGGACCAACTTCAAGGCAGCTGGTCCTTTCAACAAGTTCCAACACCACTTACATAATATTGAATAGAAAAATAAAATAAAACTGCAAAGTATGATCTAGGATTATGCAGAAAACTAACACAAATTAGTAATGAAAATAATTTTTCGTTCATTAAAGACAATGATTCAGTTATATGAAGCTAAAAAAAAATTGCAATAGCTTAATGCTTGAGTTGGCATATTTTCATAAAATTATACTAATAATAAGGTACAATAAAAATTTTAAAAGTATTTATATAAATTATATTGGAGCTCGGTTCGTGACCTCACTCCCGCTCGATCGCGAAACAGCTCCCGCCTCCGCCCGCAGCGAGCGCAAAGCAAAGCTTTGCTTCGTCCGATCACGAATAGTCACGACTCCCTGTTGTTTCGCGAAACGTCGTCTCTCTGCTTCCTGTTCGGGATAAAAGGCATCGCAGCAGCTCTTCTTTGGTTTTTGAAGTCACGATTTTTGTGTTCTTGTTCAGACCTCCTCGGAACAGAGGAATAGAAGTGCAAGCAGTAGTTCCTTGAGGCAGAAGGAAGAGGAAAGAAGAAGAATAATATTGTTCTCACTTGGCTTCTTCTTGGTGGCTTGTGGCAAAAGAGAAATTGATTTTATTTCTTCTGTAAGTTTATCTTCTTCGGTGTATCTCGGTGTAGAGCTTCTTAGGTATATCTCGGTATAGAGAGAGAAGAATAGAGAGAAAAGAAGAGAAAACAACAAAGCGAGAGATTCCTCTTGTAAGTCGAGACGATCGACTGGTGTAACTTCATCAAGT